GCAAAAATCTGAATTTTGGTTTCGAACACCTTAAAAATCTTTAGTTTCTGTTTTATTCTCAGGTGGCGCCGTATGCGTCTGTATTAAGTTATTTTATTATTACTTCCTTTGACGGAAAATATTTGATTTCACGTTTAGGGCTTCTACGCAGTCGCTCTGATGAGTCCTGCTGGTACGAAATACGTATAAGCGAATTGTAGAGACGTGAAATCAAATCTTAACTGTCTTTTCTATATCTGTTTTTACTCGTATTTTGTGTATAAGAAACCAGTTCACGAAAGATTCTTGCCTATATGAACCTATATGTCGGGGAATGCAAGACTCAGTATTTAGGCAACAATCTGAATTTTGGCTTCAAACACCTAGAAATCTTTGGATTTCTACTTTCTGTTTTGATTATCAACACTTTTATTAATTAAAGTTGGCCCATTTTTGTTCTACAGGTAAAAAGGTACGATCAAGAAAGAAATCAGTAACCTTTATGAGTATACTATAATATAAAATATTTGGACACGTGTTGGCATTTGTTCTTCTTCGTTCTGATTTCTTGTGTATCCTTTTTGTTTTGACTGTATTTGTAACAGCCAGAATAAGCAGGAGACACAAAGGAATAAAACAATAAACAAAATCCATAGCTAGAGAAAGGAAGAGTTCTTGAAATATTCATTCTAAGATCATCTCCTTTCTTTAATTCCCTTATTTTTATCTTTTCTCTTCTCTCCTCCCAAAATTATTCCAAGCCAATCAGCTTTTTTAATTTTCTCCTTGCCAGACCTTTTCTATCCTACTCAAATTTAAAAAGAAACCGTTCTCTTAGAAAACATATTATATCCTCCTGGTTGTCACCAAGCTTCCATGTGAATTAAAAAGTTATAGAAACTCAAACAATTGTACCTTTGGGTATAGAAATTATGGGTAAAACCATTACTGCCTGTTTATTTCACAATCAGCTTTTCTTCTTCTTCTTACGGTGTAGTCCGGTTGTTAGACGTATTGAATCACTTCCTTAGGCTTTGAAGCCAAGATATTTTTCTTCTCCCTGGTCGTCTCTTTCCAAATACCTTGCCCTGAAGAATGAGTTACAATAAGCAATATCTGTGTTAATTTCTCATAACATATCCAAGATATTCTAATTGGCGTTCTTTGATTGTGTTAGTGATCTCGCATTCCTTGCCCATTCTACGTAGAATCTCAATATTAGTCACATGATCCTTTCATGAAATCAGTAAGATGCTCCTGTAACATCACATCTCGAAGCCTCGAGCTTTCCTAAAGAAGCTTCCGAGAGCGTCCCTGCTTCTAGTCCGTATAATAATGTAGAAAATACATAGCATCTGATGATAGAGGTTAAGGTACTAAGTGTTAAATCGTGACTTCTGAAAAGATACTTCATCTTTACGAACACTGAATCTTTCTTTCCCCATTCGTTGTTTTATTTCAGTAGCGTGGTCCCATTGACTGTTTAGGTTAGTACCAAGATATATGTAACTGTTTACCCTGTCAACTACCATGTACTTTGTTTTGTTTGTATTGAGATCCAGCCCATATTCTCGACTTATATCTGATATGCGTGACATTATTGTTTCTAAACGATCTAGGCTATCTGCAAAAACTACTATGTTGTCAGCATATCTTATATTGTTTAAACGCACTCCGTTAACTAAGACGGCTTTCTCTAGTTGTCCCAGTGCTTGTTCGAAGTTACGCTCCGAATATATGTTAAAGAGCACTGGAGACAGAATTCATCCTTGTTTCACTCCACTATTTATGGAGATTGTCTCTGTCAACTAGTCATCCACTTTAATATTGTTAGTTTGGTTGTAATATAAGTTATATATAATTTGAAACTTTCTATCATCCAAGTCCGCTTCTTTCAAGATTGATGTGAGCCTGTCATGTATTACTCTATCAAATGCCTTTTTGTAGATTATAAAACAAATATATACGTCACAGTTGACATCTCTGCACCTCTGAATAAGCACTTGTATATAGCTTCTCGGATGCCCAAGGTATCGCGGAATCCAAACTGTGTCCATGATACTTGTTCTTCGCATTTTTTTAAAAACGTTTTAAGTAAGTGGCTCGTTAGGCCTAATTATTCTGTAATCTTCGCATGTTTGTGGATTTAATTTTTGTGGTATAGTTACGAAGGTCGACTTTAACCAGCTTTGGGGAATATTTCCATTTATATCTTCTTCTTCGCGTGCCATATCAGATTTATCCGACGTTGGCGATCACCATTGCGAAGGCTTCTCGATCTTCTGCAATATGGAATAATTGTCCTGCATTTGGTATCTGAGTCCATTCACGAATGTTTTTTTAACCAAGAAACTTGTATTCTTCCTACACCTCTACGGCCCTCTATTTTGCCTTTAAGGATCAGTTGTAAAATTTTATATCGACTTCCCCTTACTACATGTCCCAGATAAGACATTTTTCTATGTTTAACAGTCTTTAGCAGTTCTCTGTCTTTGTTGACGCTCCTTAGTACTTCTTCATTAGTTTTTCTTGCTGTCCAAGGTATTTTCAGCATTCGTCTATGAACCCACATTTCCAATGCTTCAATTTTGTTCATGATCGATACTTTTAGTGTCCACACTTCTGCACTATACAAAAGTACAGACCAAACATAGCACTTAACCATTCTTTGCCTGAGTTCTAAACTGAGATGGTTATTGCAAAGAAATTACTTCATTTTCATAAAAGTAGTTTTAGTCATTGCTATTCTACGTCTTATTTCTATGTCTGGATCTAGTTGGTCCATTATCACAGTTCCCAAATATGTCATTTTGTGAACTCTCTCAACTTGGACTCCGTTCAATTGAAGCTTTGCATCAGAATGTGGGTCACGACTAAACACCAAAAATTTGGTTTTATTTGAGTTTATTTTAATGCTCATTTTCTCTCCTACCTCGTGAATACGGTCAAGCAAAATTTGAAGACCTTCAATATTATCTGATAGAATTACTGTATCGTCTGCATATCTAATCACATTAAGTAGTTCCCCGTTGATTTTTATTCCATATGGTTGTCTCTCGAGGGCCTTTTTAAATAACTGGTCCGAGTAAACATTGAAAAATGTTGGCGACAAAATGCAACCCTGTCTGACTCCTCGTTGTATGGGGATTTCATCGGTGTAGTTATCTTCAATTTTTACGATAGCAGTTTGATTCCAGTACAAATTTTTAATGACACGAATATCCTTGTCATCTATTTTTCCGATATTTTTCAGTATTTGCATTAATTTTACATGCTGTACTTTATCGAATGCCTTTTCGAAGTCCACGAAACATGCAAATACATCTTTTCTTTGGTCACGGCACTTTTGTAATATAATGTTAAGCGCAAAAAGTGCCTCCCTGGTTCCCATAGCATATCCAAAACCAAATTGGGTATCTTCAAGATCTTCTTCGCATTTGCGCCTAATTCTGTTGTGAAGTATTCTGAGGAAAATTTTAAGAGTGTGGCTCATTAGGCTAATTAATCGATATTCTGAGCATTTTCTCGCATTGTGTTTCTTAGGTATTGCGATAAAGATGGATTTGAGCCAATCTGCGGGAATCACTCCGGTGTTATATATTGAATTAAAAAGTCTTCCTACTACTTTTATGTTATCATTCTCTATCAGTTTCAGCAACTCAGTTGGTGTATCATCTGGACCACAAGCTTTTCTAATTTTAGCATTATTTATAGCATGTTCTACTTCACATTTCATAATTTCTGGACCGTCAGTACAGTTTTGGTAGAATTCGGCAATATTATTCCTGTCATCTTCAAACAACTCTGATATATACAGCTGCCATTCTTTTCTTATTTCTTGATCATTTACAATAATTTTATTATTAGTTTCAACAAGTACAGAGGAAACTCGTTTTTTAAATATATTACTCCATTTATATATATTTTGTTAAATATAGTGGTTATCCATTGTATTTCTTTTTCGTCCATAAGTTTCAGGAATTGTGTATAAAATTTGTCAGACCCTACAGCTTTATCATCTTTAGTTTTTTTAATAGCTGCCGTGATTTCTTCAATGGTAATCGGGGGTCCTCTTTGGCATCATCAATGGCAATCTGCCTTTCGTCTGCAAATGTTATTTTCACATATTTCTTCCAAGTGTCAAGTCTCTCTTCCACTCTTAGTAGTGGATTACCTTGGTTGTCTGCCAAACATCCAACTCTTCTAGGCTTGTATAAGCCTGTAGTTTCTTTTAACTTTTTTCTGCATATTGAATGAATCGTGTTTCTATTGTGATAGCTTTATTTCCGCACATTGTTCTCTCAGCTGTGTGTCCTTAGCTATTCTGATTGCTTTTTTGATCTTTTTGTCTATTCTTTTCTATAATGTCTTTTCCTGATCTTTGACCTTTCGCCTCTCTTCCATCATATCTAGAATCTCATTTGTCATCCACGATTTTTTTTTTAATTTTTGGTGGTTGGAGAATTTTTTTTGTATGTCTTGTGAAACTCTATGCAATTTTTCAAGCTCCTGATCTATCAAATCCGTGTGAATAACGGTATTAAAATTGCTATGTATATACTGTTTTCTACTCTGTTCTGTACGTTGGTCTTTGAGTCTTCACTTCATATCGGCTCCTGGGTATATCTTTCTATCTAATCTATTTGATTTCTGGCTATGTGGCCTTTTCAGCTTGTAAATTTCCTAGTATGTTCGCAAACATGTATTGTATTATCTACCTACTGAAGCGTGAACGAAAGATACGTTTTTTTAGTCTATACCTTCCTAAAATGCCTTTAAACCTCACAAACAAAGTTTTATTAGCAGAAACTACAACATTGTCCTCTTTTTCTTCGAATCACTAATCACTAATTACACTGTAAACTACCTATCTAATTATACAGTAAATATTGGGATTTTTGCTGCAAATTTTATCTCTAATGCATTCCAAACATTCACAGCATTCACAGTGTCAATAAATTGACAGTTTAGCAAACATAATACAGTTAGTTATTCCTTGTTTACTGATTCTTTTTTTGCAGATGAATTGTGGTGTACGCGATCCTGCAACACTATGTGATAAATGGAGCATTGAGGAATACTGCCATCCAGATTACACTAACCAAATATCGTTCACTGCTCTAGTACCCAAACATGAAACAACATTGTCAAATTCTTCGTTAATATTTAAGATAGATAACATAACTTTGAGCAACGGCACTACATTTTCGCCGCCTTGTAGCGAAACAAGTACACCGTTTCTTTCCACCTGTAAAATTAATTGTGAAGATTATAGTTTGAACGAGATGATCACCGAGACGTCAGTTAGCGATGAAGAAGCATACGGACTGTATCAGTTTTGGTGTGTGCTAATTTTTATGGTGATTGGATGGATTGGACAGGCTGTCGTAGTTAGTGTAGGAGATGCTATATGTTTCGAACTACTGGGTAAGTATAATTCTTTTTAAACGCTTTTATTGGAAAATATTCTAATTATCCTATTATATATATATATATATAATATATATATATATATATATATATATATATATATACAGGGTGTTTCACGACGACTTTACACTATCTATGTATCAGAACCTATTTACACAATATTTATGAAAATTGGTTTATGAAGGTTACAAGTTATTACGAATTTAACGAATCTATTTTTACTGACATGCTACTGAATGAACAACAACATTGGCATTTTAAACGGAACACCCTGTATATAATTGCATTTTTAGATTTTAAGTAAAATTCTAGACACAATTTGTATAAGGTACCATATGAAGACTACATCGTAAAAACGCTGTAAGTCAATTTTTATCGATTTTTTGATGAATACATTTTTCCATACTTGGATACACGTAGTACAATCCACGAATATCAAACAGAATAAAAGTGCAATAAGTCAAACGTTACAAACGAATAAAATAATGCTGTACAATGGGAGAGCACTGCAAGTCAAGGTTAAACTAGGCAACAATGCTATAAGTCAGATTTAGGTGCTCAATGCGCCTGTCCGTAGGGACAATTTACAACGGAAAATCACAGTCAGTGTCTAGCATTCATACAAGTTGTTTATTTTAGTATCATTATTATCAGAATCACAGTTTGTTTTTTAACGTTTAGTAAGTTTGAACTATTGTTTATTAATATTTAAAATGAGGATAGTGAAATTGAAGAGGCTTTACAGTCGAAAACTACAAGAAAACGAAAAAGCTTTGGGCGAATACGTGATGTAGCTAAAGCGCTAAAACTGCAAACTCACGAAACAGGCGAGGACTGCCGTTGCAAAAGTTATCAGTGTTTTGAAAACATAACGGTTGAACAAAGAAATACAATTATTCGTAACTCAAAGAAAGCCAAGAAAAGACGACAGGACGAAAAGAAAAGAGAATTGCAACGTAAGAGATTACTCTTTTTATTACAGAATTTGCCTTGCGATAACTAATGATGAGGGACATACGTCACCTGCAAAAGACGTTCAGGTTTATCAAGAAGGTTTTGTTGCTCTTCATGGAATATCCACGAGAAGATTACAAACTATACAAAAAGCCCTAAAACACGGTACAACCGCCAAGGACAATAGAGGTAAACATGGCCCAAGACCCAATAAAATGTCTGAAGAAACTATGCAGTTAATTTTAAATCAAATAAAATCATTCAAAGGACGCATCACTACAGCCTAAAAAACATCTAGCAGGAAGTACCTTCCAGAGGAACTTAACATTAAAAAGATATACACAAAGTTCCTTGAGAAACATCCCAATAGAGTAGTGTGCTATGAAGTATGTAGAAAAACATTCAACACACGCTTTAATATCATTTGTAATGCTTCCAAAATAAAAATAAGGGAATATAAAGATGAAGAATTAATTAAACTTAAAACAGGGCAGAAACTTCACTTACTGAAAGCACAGACATTTTACAAACGAAAAACAAAAGCTAATAAACTACGAGCAAGGACCTCAAGAGAATATGAAATCATAGCCATGGACTATAATAAGAACCTTTCAATGCCCAATATTACGAGTAACGACGTGTATTATAAAAGGCAGTTGTCTTTCTACTCCTTTAATATCCATCGACTTGTGATAATGGTGTTGTTATGTACTCGTACCCTAAGACAGTAGGTCGAAAGGGTGCCAATGAAGTTTGCTCATTTCTGTATGACTATGTGACAATCCAGCTTCCTCCTGAAGTTCGTAACTTAGTGATTTTCTGTGATTCGTGTGGAGGCCAAAATAAAAATTGGACAGGAATGGTAGGGAACCACCGTATACTGGAAAAGAATTCGTTATTCCTTCTCGATCCTATACTGACTGGCTATTTACAATGGCAAAATACAAAGATCTCCAAGTTTAAAAAAAAATTATTCATAAAAAAGAATAATGTATTTTAATCACCTAAAAAAACATGACTTATTTTTATCTTAAGAATGTTACAATGTTATTGATTCATTTAACAGATAATAATAATGTTTTTAGCTTTAGTTGAGCTAAACAAGTCTATCTCTGTTTATTTTTTCTTTCGTTGAATTAATATTATATTTTGTCAATTACAGCGTTTTTGCCTTTTTCCTCCAAACCTTTGGTTGTTTTTTTTTAATTTCTCTTGTTACCTATGATACATGACAATTTCGTTTTATAATATCATACTCCGTATATATGAGTTGTCAAATACTCAATACAACAGTGTTTTAGCATATTTATTTATGAATTATGAAGTTTTGAACCTTAAAATCGCGTTTTCCAAAAATTTAAAAAATTTATTTACAGCGTTTTCCCCCTGTAGTCTTCATATGTCAATAATTTTGACAGATAGAGACAAACTTTTCAAGCTAATAGCTCTTTCATTTTCAAACATAATACCGTGAAAATCTTTGCTCATAAAGAGTATGTAACTTTCTTTTAGGAATTTGCACCTAAATCGAATTTCTAAATACAAGGTGTTCACAAATGATACGCCATATATTTAAACTTCAAACCACAGTAAGTCAATCATTTTAAATAAAACCCCCTGTATTTTATAATTTTAATGAAAAAAAAAAGAAAAAAAGTGAATTGTCTTTAAATAGTATTAGAATGCCCTATACCTAATATTAAAAGAGATAAATTCTAGTTTAATGTTAAAGTTAAGGTATTTATTGTTTTATTTTAGCAGGCCGTGTATTATCATAATTGTCAATATTTCTGGTTACTGGCGCTTTTCCAAAGCGATATAAATGGCTGGTTTAGAATTAAACAATTAAGTTTACGAAAATTTAGAGTGCCTAATTGGTTGCTGTAATATCAATAACTGGAAACCGATTTTAGATATCGTTGACAGGGAAACAGTTATCTAAGATATCTCTTAGATAACATATAATTGAAACTTAAGAAAAGAGCCAGAAAAGAAAAAAGAGAAGAATGCAGACGCAAACTACCAAGAAATAATTATAGATGGAAAATTATAGAAGTGGTATAGGCATAAAAGTATATTTGAAGAAGTATAACCAACAGCTCCAAAAAAACTCAAAAAACACAAAAAACAAAGTACGAAAAAAAAAAACAAATGGTGGAGCAAAGAAATTGAGGAAGAAGCAAAAAAAAAACTTGCTCGGAAAAATTGTAAGAATACGAATATCCAAAAAGATAAAGAATAATACATGAAAATTCGAAATATTAATACTGCAGTGGAGAAACATTGTGGAGAATTCGGAAATGCAAAATAAATACCGAATAACGGATACATTTTATAATATATGAATGAAGGCAAAAGAAAATATAGGCAATAATGGATAAAAAAATAAATTAAAAAGTGAATAAATCGCAATAATTAAAGAAGAAAGGACGAAGAAGACCAAGATCGTTAAGCGATAAACAGGTAGAAGATTTATAGGCATCATTTTAAGTGATAATTTGCTAAAAAAAAACTTTGATAAAGCCATTATAAACTGGCTAACACTTTGGCCAGTAAATAGCCAAATTCTAAGTGTATCTTCGAGTTACACTTCGAGTTTAGAATTTGTTGGCGAACAACAAATTTTAAGTGTATCTTCGAGGTGGACGTCCGTTAATCGGAAGCGATATTTGTTTTTAAAAAAAATTCTATTTTTGAGAAAGACGTTTCGCACATATTACGTTGAGTATTTGCTGGATCATGTTTGGCCCAAAATTCTTCAGCGGATACCGATTTATAAACGTGTAAGGACAAATCTTGTAATTCAATAATCTACATGTGAAGTAATGCTTTAAAGATTAAACAGCTTAGCAGCCACATTTGTCCATTTTACCGCTGAATCAACTTCAAATGGTGATTTTTAGAAATGAAGATAGTTTGCTTACCTGTGCAAAGTCTTGGAATCTTGAAGCAAATTCGTTCCTAAGATCGCACAGAAATTTTACGAACACTTCAATGTCTTCTTCGGAGTACTCCTTATTTTTACTATGTTCAAGAATAGTTGGAAAATGAATGAATTCTTGTTGTGCAGTATTTTTTTCAAAGCTATTAAGCTTACGACGGAAAAGCAGACACGCTTTGTATCAGAACACATACTAATTTTCCATTTCCTTATTTATAAACTCCGTGTTAAGCGCATTCAAATATTTTAAAATATCTTTTCTTCTTCTTCAAGTTCCACTCCTATCGGAGATTGGAAATCATTCTAGCAATTATAATTTTATTGGTTACTCGCCTGAATAGTTCAATTGAACTGCATCCAAACCACTCACGGAGATTGCGTAGCCACGAGATTTTACGTCTTCCTACGCTTCTTCTACCTTTGATTTTACCCTGCATTATATTCCTTAGTAGTTCGTACTTTTCACCTCTCATGATGTGCCCCAAGTATTCCAATTTCCTGATCTTTATGGAATTTAAAACTTCGCATTGTTTTCCTAGTTGTTCGAGAACTTGTTCGTTTGTTTTGCGATCCATCCATGATATTTTCAAAATGCGTCGGTAACACCACATTTCGAATGCTTCTAGGTTTTTAATGTTGGATTTTTTAAGTGTCCAAGCTTCAACTCCATACAAAAGGGTAGAGAAAATATAACATCAAAGCATTCTTATCCGGAGCGATATATTGATATCGCGATTACAAAAAAGTTTTCTCATTCTATTAAAAGTTGACCGCGCAATTTCAATGCGGCATCTTATTTCTTTTGTCTGATCAGTATCTTCTGTGATCCATGCTCCAAGGTATTTGTACGAAGATATTTGTTCAATTTCTGTATTGTCTAGTACTAGCTTAACTTTGATGTTTTGTACTTTTGTAAATACCATGAACTTTGTTTTCTTCAAATTGATTTTTAGTCCATAATCGTTGCAATATATATTTAGTTGTTCAGCAAGGTGTTGCAGTTCTTGTAGTGTTCCTGCCAAAAGGACGGTGTCGTCAGCATATCTTATGTTATTAAGTGGCTCACCGTTTATTATAAGGCCCTCACTGATCTCGGCAAGCG